ATTTTTATATTTTTCATTTGGATCACTCTGTATACACAATTTTTTAAAAATGCTCTGATTTCAATAATTTTTGCATTAGTAGAATGCTCTAACCATGTAGATTTCAAAAACATATAGATTGTAGCGATATTCAACAATTTTTTTTTTTTTTGTCATTTGAATCACTCTGTATTTTTATATTTTTCATTTGGATCACTCTGTATACACAATTTTTTAAAAATGCTCTGATTTCAATAATTTTTGCATTAGTAGAATGCTCTAACCATGTAGATTTCAAAAACATATAGATTGTAGCGATATTCAACAATTTTTTTTTTTTTTGTCATTTGAATCACTCTGTATTTTTATATTTTTCATTTGGATCACTCTGTATACACAATTTTTTAAAAATGCTCTGATTTCAATAATTTTTGCATTAGTAGAATGCTCTAACCATGTAGATTTCAAAAACATATAGATTGTAGCGATATTCAACAATTTTTTTTTTTTTGTCATTTGAATCACTCTGTATTTTTATATTTTTCATTTGGATCACTCGTCATACCGACTTCTTCGTGTGTTGGACGATCTGAGGAAGATCCTCAAGAGGCTGTTGGTTACTCGGCTCGAAATCAATCTGGTTAACGTTGACGGACTGGCCGAAGGCTAATTTGATTTCATGAGAGGACGTCCACGGACGACGCGACTTTCTTCTTTAAAGCAAAGAACGGATAGGGCTTCGGAGTGGCAATGTGCATAGACATACGAAACGCGTTCNGGCAATGTGCATAGACATACGAAACGCGTTAAACTCAGTGCGATGGTCACACATCCTCGAAGAGCTGAACGCATTTCGGGATACTCTGTGCATCATTCGAATGATCCAGTTTTACTTTAGGGGCAGCGTCATCACTTACGAGAGCGCCGCACGAACAGCTGAAAGGTAAGTTCTACAATGCAATATATTGTGTATTAAAATGCAAAATTTGATCACCGACAATATCATTATTCTGTTGGTGGTGTCCAAATTAGGTGAGCGACGGCAGCGAGTGTACACAACCCGAAATAATAATAAGTAAACAATAATAATATTTAATTTAGTAACCACAATAATACTGTCAGAGTTACGTTATCAGATCAATAAAGGTAAGTTGCGACAAGCGTGGTAAAATGTCGATTGCCTTCGTTATATTTTTAATTAATTTAAGAAAAGTGTGTAGTTGGTTTATTTACATACGCGTGCCGCATACTCATAGAACAGTCGTAGAGTCGTTAGTGCTAATCAGATACTAGTATAGTTGTTAATAGTTAATGTTGGTAGCTAAATTTAATACTTTTTTTTAACTATACTAATGATACATACTTACTAAGAGTTTTAATTTGTCCTAAAACTAGGTTCGACTAGAAANAGTTTTAATTCGTCCTAAAACTAGGTTCGACCAGAAAACAGAACTTCTTGGGCACATTCTTAATGAGACGTCTTACAATAGTAATTTTAATCACTGATAAATTTAAATCTAAACGGGTTTCCATTATCCCGTCATCTTTCCATTGTTACAACTAAAATAGAACCTTAGGTATTTGTTATTATTATTTTTTCACACCAAAATATATTTTTATTTAACACATATTTTTCTTACATTTTTTTTTAGGTCAATGACCATTAGCCTCTAATTATGTCTTCACTACTAAATGTACTAGATTTTTAAATTCACCATATCTCATTTGCGTTTTTACCCACCAAAAAATATTGATTACATAAATTATAATGTACGAGAAATTTAGTGTTTTTAATAAAAAAAAACGCAGTTATTAATATAAATATTATTTGACTATGTAAAATAAAAATAAAAAAATTCTGTTCTTAGATTAAAGATACCACTAAAATTATCACAATTCAATAGCCTTGTAAAATAATTGTGAATGTATCAATTTATTTAAGATACATATAACAAATGACTTTTTTATAGCAAATGTTAAAACTCGTACATGCGACATTTCTTTCTGAAAATGTTAGCATAGTACAGCCAGTTTTTTTTTACATTTGCAAATTTATAGCGCGTACTAGTGACATAACTGTCTCGATATATCAAACTATGTACAGCCCGCTATTTTTATATTATAAGATTAAAGTCATCGTTTGTTTTGAAAATGTAATATAACTTAAAACAAACTTTCATATATCAATATGACTTTTTATAGGCAGTTCTCAAAATCAAATTCATATGTATATATACAGAGTTTNTCTCAGTAAATAAGGAAGCAAGCCAATTGTTCAAACAATGAGAACAATATAAAGCCGTTCGCTTACTTACTGAAAACTCTATATATAATACAATATACATAATATAATATATATGTATAAATCGGTTATGATAAAAAAAGAGGTACCATTAACTAAAGAACAAACTTTTTTGTTTAAATTTCATATAGCCAATTAAGATTTTCAATCAATTAATGTACATCACTTTTTATCTAAGATATCAAATCTCGTATATAACAATGTATATATTCAACATTTTTTATTTTGGATAGAAAGTCTAAAGTAGTCTAAACTGTAGTGAAGTGTATCCCAAAAATCTAATACATACAGTAGTATAGGCGCAACTAGTAGCTATGAGATATTGACCTCGCAAAAATTGTAGGATATATGTGTACTTAAATAAAAATATTCTTTAGGGTGAGTAATTAATAATAACACCCACTGAAATTTTATTCTAGATGTGCCTTTAAAAAAGTTCCAGCGAAATGGTAAACCAGATTAGATTTAAATTTAACAGTGATATAAATTACTATTGTAATACGTTTCAATACAAATTGCGTCACTGTTTAAAATTTAACGTACATTCCATGAAACATTGAATACTAGCTAATATAATTAATTAATTCGTATGAATCAGAAGAAAAAAATTAATCTTATTAAAAAGTATAAAATAGGTCAAATTTACTAAAAAGTGTCAATGTGTATTAAAAGTCATTTGTTTTTATATTAATTGTAATTTTGTATAAACAAGAATACTAGCAAGTAGTTATGTTGTAAAAATTATTGATATTAGATAGCAAAGGCAATATTTTAAAACTAATGTCATCTAAGGCCTGTCTCTTTTTCTATTTTCTTCAATGACATTTTTATTAATACAGAATATTATAATTTAAAGAAAATATATTCTACATGTATATTAAATCAAAAGTTTAAAAATGTAATGTTTTATATTGAATAAACGAATAAAGTTCTGTTAAAAATAGGAATGTCATAATATTAAAATAAAACTGCAAACATTTCATTTAATTCAAAATTGTTGTACTCATTTGAAAAAACAATATTGACATACATACAAGGCATTCGAGATGAACTTAAAAATTATTACATAGCTAATAATTTTAGAGTTTAAATATAAAATTATTAAAAAACATCTTGGATAATCTATCAGCCAAATTGAATTATTAAATCTAGCCTTCATTTGATATAATATTTCTTACAACTTTTCTGAATTACATTCAATTATGTTAAGAATATATTAAATAGTTTGTTATAATAAAAAACCAAATGATAAATTAATTATTATTAAAAGTATACAGAAAAAATATTCACCTATAAAAGTTGAATCTCAATATTTTTTCCAAGAGAAATAGAATGGCCAACGTTAAATCTGAGAGATAATTTATCGATTTTATAAAACATTTTTGGAAGAAAAATAGTAAGCCATTACATAAAGTACCAATTGTCTTATGAAAAAATTCATATTATAATATTGGGTACGTATCAGATTTTGGATAATATCACAAAAATTAATCACTAAAACTAATAATTTACCAATGTTCAAACTTTTTTATTCAAATAATACTAAAATAAAAAAATTTAATTGTACCTCATTGAATATATACACAATTTTTCAACAGTAAATTATTAAAAAATAATAAAATTTTGTAATACAAATCATAACTATTTAAAAATAAGATTTCTGTATTATTCTTGACCCTCTTCATAAATTATTATTGTTAGTAATCATAACTATTAATACTAATATACAAATAAAGTATACAATATAACTAGGAAATAAAACAAAAAAATATTTTTTCATTTTGATGAACGGTTTTTAAAATATACATGATAAATAAACAGCAATTATTTAATAATTTAACCAATGTATTTTTACAATAATAAAATGTTATATTTTTATAATGACATTTTCTCTGGATAAAGTTTAATTATTAAAAAAAAATTCCTTGATAAATATCTGTATTTTTAGTAATTTATTGAATTTTCAAATATTTTAGAATATTTGATTAAATGTACTTACTTGGGATAAATTTGAAAGTTAACCAACAAAGAATATTTATCGTACTGCATTTTATAACTATTGAAAATTGTATTTTAATTTTAATTTTATTAAAACACATTGAATCAACATATAAGACATAATGTACATCCCATCAAACATTGATCACTTGCTAATAAAAATAATCATTAATAATATAATTAATTAACCTGTATAAACGAGAAAAAAGATAATTAATTTTTTTAAAAGGTATAAAATAACACAAATTTACTAAGAAAATGTCTGTTTTTTAAAAGTCGTTTGTTTCTATGACAACTGTAATTTTGAATAATCAAAAATAATTTACAGAATACTATTACAGAAATTACCAATTTTAATATAAAAAAATTTACATAAATTGGATAAAAACAATTGTGGTCTATAAATTATACCTTTTGCTTCATTGACATCTCTATCAGCTTTATTTTCTATTTCTCTTTTAAGTACAATACGAATACTCTTGAAACATTGTTTAATGGCTTCACAGGTTTTAAATTTACAAATCCATCTAGTATTACTAATTAGCCCATAGTTTTGTTTTTATATCCGAGTTTTTTTCCAATTCAACTAATTGACAATTCTTTGGGGAAGAGAAAAATTAACACATATATATTTAATCATGTTAAAAAACTTAGTTTCCTAAAATTTTTTAATATTTTAATAAAAAAAACACATTTTATTAATATTGATTTTTACTTGAATATTTTTTCAAATATCTGCAACCAAAAGATTTATTCTATGAACATACAATGAGTAAAAATCGCTTTTGAAAATTTAATTCTAATTTTTGATTGACTTCATTAAAGTAGCAGACATGATGTTAACATAAACATAGTATTGTGAAATTATTTGAGCTTTAGTATTTAATTTACAAGTTTTAAAATAATATAAAACATTTGTTCTTCTTTATAACATCTAAAAATAAAGCAAAAATTTTGTAGTAATATTAGTGTTTAGTAATGCTCATTTTTAAATTTATTACCTTGCTTCATCAAAAAGTCTGTGTACTAATGTCTTCTATAATTGAATCTCTTATTCTGTTTGCACATATTTCAATTATTTAATTTTGAATATGATGACTCATGTGATTTGTTTCTTTGTTGAATATTTCAAAAAACTTAGGCATATGCTTGGAAAATAAAACACAAGTTTCATTGAAATTTCCCAAGAAAAATTATTTATTAAGAAATTAATAATTATATCTTCTAAGTTTTAATTACTTATTATTAGGTGATTAGATTACTTAAATTAGTTCCCAACGTTGATTTAATGATGAATTATTTTTATTGTGTCGGGCCATT